AAGTGTCAATAGCTTCATTGTTTCTATTCTTCTTGTAGTGTGGAAAGAAGATGAACCCTAGAGAATAGATGGTTGAAAGGTAGAGTGACCCTGAGAACACTAGATCTCCTTTTGGGGAGCCCATTATGTTTGTAGATGCTTGATCCTGGAGCAAGTATTATATGTGATCTGTCTTGGCAAGCTTCCATTTCCCAGGATAGCACCTTATCTGTAGCGTGTGGCTGATAAGTGTCTGTGGAAGTCGGCTGAGTTGTTCAAGGAATATCTAGCAAGCAAAACCACCACCAAATATGTGTAAGTGCTTATTATATCTTAAAAAACATATGTGGAGATGGGAAAACCTAATTAGAAAAATCGTGTATTATGAGTAGCTTCAGTGAAAATTCAATATATTTTCATTGGAAGAGAGGATGCAGGTAAATGCTCTGTGGTCTCCTTCTTTGGATTAAATGTGGTATGAAATCTCTAGGGGTAGATTTTAGGGCTACAGGCTTCCTGTGACACAGGAAAGCTGGGAGGGGATATTTATTACAAAGACCAGGGCGCTGGGGGCACAGACATTGTGTCCATACCCCTCCACGTCCCATGGGAAAGGTGTGGAATTCCTTTCTAAGTTTATTTCAAGAACCAGTCATCTTTAGAATTTAAAATATTGTCTTAAATGGAAGTTCATAGAGTTTAAGTGTTAAGTCTTTCCAAGATGGTTATATAAATGCAAGTGCAAAAAAAAAAAAAAAAAAAGCAATAGAGCAGGAATTTTCCCATTTATTTGATTCCAACAGGACCTTACTGCACAAAGAGTTGTTTGTCAATAGTGTAACCTGTGGACAAATCAAGGTGAGAAGGAAAAGTCAGGCCAAGATATGATGCTCAGTTCTACTTAGCACCTCATTTTCTACTAAGCTCTATGGCTTTTCTAAAATATCAAGAACTTAGAGCAAGGGTCCTTATGATCACTTCCCACTATTATAAACCACCTGGATCATTGCAAGGCAAATCAGTCATAGTAAGTCTGAGGAATTCTGGTAAGTGATTCCAAACCCTAATCGTTCGTGTATTATGAGTGTGGATAAACTTTGTAATTCTTTAGTGATTGGAATGCAAATTTCAACTTCATTGAAAAGTATATTTTTCCCATAGATTCTTTGCTTATTTAAGTCACCTTTAGTATATCAGAAGGATACTTTGCAGGGAGTCTGAGTTGGGTTGCACATGAAATTTTGCTATTGAGGAAATATATGGATGAGGTCTACGTTTCTCTATCTATCTATCTATCTATCTATCTATCTATCTATCTATCTATCCATCCATCCATCCATCTAATCCCAAGTGCTAAATACAGGTATCTTCTTGCGGAATTACCATGGTTTTAAAAAAATTCATAAAAAAATAAAGAAGTCATAATGTCAGACATTTTTGAAAGCTGGTGGAATTTGAAGGTCAAAAACAAACACCATTTCCTGAATCCGGGCCACGCTTTGAGCTTCAGTGTAAGGCTACGCAGTGCGGCATCAGAACAACTTGCCAGTTACGCCTCCCAGAAGTGGCTTTAATTTGGGTCTATTCTTTAACCCCCACTGATCCTTAAATTCCTCTTTTGTAAAACAGGGATCAAACGCCCTCTCTGCCTGAAAGTTCTGATGTGGAAGGCGCAGTCCTTCCTCAAAAACATCATGTTTTAATTAGTGAGGCAAGACATAGTTTCAGTAAAACTTGACAAGTGCTATGACTTGTGTCTGGACATAGGAACAAAGAAGAGGGTGATCCAATCCAGACGATAGCAGTGAGGAAAGGATTCCCTACGGAACTGATTCTAGATCTGAGTTTTGATGTATATATAGGAGATTTATTAGCTGAGAAGTAAGGGTGGCAAGAAAAATATTAATAGCAGAAGAAATAAGGCTCATTTTCATCTTTTGTATGTTGAAGAGGTAAGTGTGATAGGATTATTTGGAAGAAAGGGGACACATTATCTTTCAAACTCACAATGAACATTTTTGTAAAAGGTTGAGAACTTTTGATTAATGAATATATAAATAGAGGACAAAACTCAGTTTATGTAATGAATGTTTTAGGAGTTGAGAGTGAGCTTTGGATGTAGGTATCAACATTATCCACTCACCTTCAGCTTCATCTTGTATGAACTAAATATTCAAGGAACACTAGTCATAGGAGAAGGAAAGGCTGGTTTATTGAATTCTAGGAATGTACTGATATTTTATAACACAAAACTCAGGTTAAGATCTGCACATGAAAAAAAAAATAGTTTCTGGGCTGAAGTTTCCTGCTCCATAGGCAAAAAAAGTTGGTTAGGCTGTGAAAGTTTCATCAATGACAAGACATATGTAGCTACAAGAACTGGGAGAGAAAAAAGGGCTGCCTGCCTGCACCCTTTGCTGGGTACATGGAAAGAGGAAATATAAAAAGCAGCCCTTACATACAGCACACTGTCTCTACCCCTGTAAAGTAGTCACTGTCCCGCTGGGTGGACTTGGCTTTGATTTATCAGATATTGATCTGCTTCTCAGGGTTTGAGGAGAGTTGGACAAGGGGGAGATGATGGAATACAGAGCGGGTAGGAGAGGCCTGGCAAGAAGTTTCAATGATTCAAGGAAGGAGCCAGTATGTCTTTCCCTATGGCCAGAAGCAGGTGTTTTAGGAAGATGAGAAGGAAAAAGGGAGAAAATTTTCCTATATCCCCACAACTTTGTTTTATAAGATATATACTAAATGATAGGAAGTTTTGAAAATGGATATCAGTTTGGGGGTACATGATTCTACTGAACAATTCTTAGGCAGAACAAACTTAAATGATGCTCTTTAAATAAAAACTGGAGTCTCCAAAATAATGAGCTGTTTTAAGTAAACCATTATTGTCAACCGTGACTGGCACATGATGGTTGCTTACATATTTGTTGTCTAAGTCAGCAAATGGATGGTATGTCTGTCAACTACTGACACTATATAAAGGTCCCAGGGAAATAGAACATAGACACCCATTTGAGAAACCTCCTCTTGCAACCCACCAGAATTCACTTCCCTTGACAACATGTGTTGCAACTACTACGGCAACTCCTGTGGCTATGGCTGTGGAAATAGCTATGGCTGTGGATTTAGCCCTTATTATGGCTGTGGTTATGGTACTGGATATGGCTGTGGATACGGCTGTGGATATGGCTCCTGCTATGGCTGTGGTTATGGAACCAGATATGGCTGTGGATACGGCTCCCGTTATGGCTGTGGTTATGGAACCGGATATGGCTGTGGATATGGCTCCTGCTGTGGCTGTGGATATGGCTCTGGCTCTGGCTACTGCAGTTACTGGCCAGTTTGCTATAGGACGTGTTATTCTTCTTGCTGCTAGAACATCACTATCCAAGCCCCATTTGCTTCTGAAACAACACATTTATAGATAAGGCTGATTCAAGGATCTATAACCCATGGTTGCTCTGTTCAAGAAATTATATGCCTGAGAGAGGCTTTGACCTCTAACTACTCATTTTCCGATTGGCATCTTTGTGGCTTCAGGCCCTGTGATATCATCTGACTGTTTTCCAAAAGTTATCTTCTATGCACTCAAGTTCTGATTCTCTGTTATGACTGTATTGATGATCCCAACATTTTATAGTTTGGGAAATCACTTATTCTCAATAAAAATAGTTCATTGTTTCTAAGAATTCTCTGTGTAATTGCTTATGAATTAATCTTTTCTTTTTTAGGTGTTATGGACTCTCTTGAAAATCAGGCTCACATGTTGCCTGAACTTTGAATTATTCCTTGACATAACATAAGCATATTTTTCTTATATTTGCATCAGGGAAAATGTCTTCCCCATCCATTTCTCATACCCCACATGCTCAGACACTCACTTACTCAGGAACAAATCTCACAATATATCAGAAGGGTGCTTTGCAAATCTCACTGTATCTAGGATGGAGCTGGAGGGGAAAGAAAAGGTGGAATGACATCTGTTCAGGAGGTCATGACAAGGGAGGACCAGCAACCTTGAAGAATTCATGGAATATAAGAGGCAGTTTCCAGAATTAGTAAGAAATTACAAGTAGACATTGGTGTTAAACACTTCAGAGTGAAAAACTAAGGAACAGATAAGTCAGAATAAAAATATTCTATCATATTATCTGCTTTAGATAGAATTGCAGATTTTTTTGCATAACCTGAGGTAAGGAAATTGATTTCAGTCACTAAATTGACAAATAGTTTTGAGAGGTTCTCATCCTAGACATTGAAGACACAAAAGCAAAATCATGAGCAAGTTTCCTGCTCTCACAGTGTTTAAATTCTAGTAGATGAAGATAAAAAAAATAGTAAAAATAATGGAGATACATTCTGTCAGACAATTGCTATAGAGGGATTACAACAGCTTAATGGGAAAGAGCTGAAGATTAAAGTGTTAGAGGAATAGTTCAGGGAGGAATTTTGAAGTTGTGACAAATGAGCTGATGCCAGTTGCAAAGAAAGACTAGAAGGACAGTAGCAAGTGTAAAGGGGGAAGAGAAGTTCACTCAGTTTTGGAAGAATATAATTTCATTTATTAGGCAGATATGATCTAATTTATATATCCAGAAAAGGATCTTCACAAACTAGCTCTTCACATACCTTGACAATCTGAAATGTTGTGACTTCCTTAGTTAAAGAGCAGTTGATACATTCAGCTTTAGAAAAATGAGATAATGGTGGTAATACATCCAAATATCTTACAGCCTATAAGGGACACACCAGTGTCTGAATTAATTCGCCCATTTTTTAACTGATGAAATGTTGACTGAGTACAAATTATGCACTAGGCACTGTTCTCTGTGCTGGTTATTCAGTGATGCACACGATAGATAATTGTTTCTGTTACTATGCATTGATATCTAGAGGTTTGAATGGAAAGATATTAAAAGTAATGCAGTAAAGATAGAAGAATTTTCAATATGACTTCATTTATATGCTAAATCTAAAAAAAGAAAAAAAAGCAGGACTCTAATGAACTCATCTGAAAAACGGAAACAGACTCTTAGACATCGTAAACAATCTTTTAGTTACCAGCGGGGGCGGGGAGCAAGTATGAAGGGATAAATTTGGGAGTTTGAAATTTGCAAATGTTAGCCACTATATATATATAAAAGTAGATAAAAATCCAAGTTTCTTCTGTATAGAATAAGGAATTATATTGAATATATTGTAATAACCGTTAGGGAAAAAGAATATGAAAAAGAATATATGTATGTAGATGCATGATGGGCCATTGTGCTGTGCAGCAGATTTGACACCTTGTAACTGAATATACTTCAATTCAAAAAAAAAAAAAGTAATGCAGTAAAAACAGAAGACTTTCAATAACCCAGGGGTATTGTAGCCAGAAAGTGTGTGTTGGCAGCGGAACTGAAAGTAAAATGGCTAATTCCAGAGAATTTGTGCAGTAAAACTGGTAATTTTGACTTTCAAAAAGGACAGGAAAGAAAAGAAACTGAAGAATAATAAAATTTGTGATGGAGGTATATTTTCTTTATGCCTATTTTTAAAGATTAAATATAGCAGAGTGATCAGATTATACCAGAGAACAATGTCAGAAAAGTAAAAAGATTTATCACCTAAAAGAAAATTGCCTAATAATTAATGTTCTCAGAAAATGAAATTGGCTGCTTTGTGAAAATTCTTGTTGAAGGCACTCCATAAATTACTGGATCATAACTTATTATTGTTGTCACAATATGAGTGTCCAGTAGAAGGAATTATCTTCCCAGTTTATACTCCTTTTCAACTTGGATTTCAGAATTGTTACTGTAAAAAGTCACTTCATTTTCATAAGAAATAAAAAAGAGGAGAAAGAACAAGTGATATGACAGACAGGCAAAAAACCATAAGAGAGTACTGTGAATAGTTATATGCCAACAAATTAGACAACCTATAAGAAATAGACAAGTTTCTAGAAACATACAAAATTCCAAGACTCCATCAGGAAAAAACAGACAACTTGAGCAGACTGATCACCAGAAGTGAAATTGAATCTGTTATTTGAAAAACTCCCAGCAAACGAAAGTCTAGGACTAGAAGGCTTCATGGGGATTCTACCCAATGTATTAATAAGAACTTACCCTTCTCAAACCATTTCAAAAAGTTGAAGATGAGAGAGTGCTCCTAAATTCATTCTATAAGGCCACAATTATACCTCAACCAGACAAAGACACTAAAAAAAAAAAAGGAAGAAAAGAATAGGCCATTATCTTTTATGAGTATAGATACAAAAATCCTCAACAAAATATTAACAAACCAAATTCAGCAATACAAAAAATGATCATACAACATGAACAAGTTTAATTTATTCCAAGATCACAAGGATGGTTTAATGTATGCAGATCTATCAAAAAGGACAAAAATCACATGATCACCTGAAAAGATGCAGAAAAAACATTTGAAAAAATTCAACATCCATTCATCATATAAACTCTCATCAAAGTGGATATAGAGGGAAAATAGCTCAACGTAAAAAGGCTGTTTATGACAAAACCCACAGCCAATATAATATTCAATGGTAAAGTTGAAAGCTTTCCTGCTAAATTCAGGGACAAGATAAAGATGCTCTGTCTTACCATGTCTATTTAATATAGAACTGGAAGTCCTAGCCACATAAGTCAGACAATCAAAATATATTAAAAAAAAAACTCCAAAATGGACAGGAAAAGGTAACACTGTCACTATGTGCAGATGACATGGTACTTTATGTAGAGAACTCCAGTGTCCACCCAAAAACCATTAGAACTAACAAATGAACTCAGTAGGCTGCATGACACAAAATTAACATGCAGAAATCTATTGTGTTTCTATACACTAATAGTGAAATATAAAGAAAGGAAGGTAAAAATTAAAAAAATACCATTTAAATCACATAAAAAACACACCCAGGAATAAATTTAGACAAGGAAGTGAACGACCTATAGTCTGAAAATTATAAAATTTTATGAAGGAAAGTGAAAATGATATAAATAAATGGAAATATATCCAGCAGCCTTGGATTGGAAGAATTAATATAATTGAAATGGCCAAACTACCCAAAGAAATCTACAGATTTAGTGTAATCCCTATCAAATTACTCATAACATTTTTGACAGCACTAGAACAAATAATCTTAAAATTCACAGAACTAGAACAAAGAATCCTAAAATAATCCTAAAATTCATAGAAAAATAATCCTAGGACAACAAAGGACCTTCATTTGATAAGTCACTCTTCAGAAAAAATGGAAAAATCTAGAGGAATAACCTTCCTAGACTTCAGACTATACTACAAAGCAACAGTAAGCAACACAGTATAATATTGGCACAAACACACACAAGGGAATATTACTCAGCCATAAAAATGAAATATTGCCATTTGTAGCAAAATGATTGAACCCAGAGAATATTATGCTGTGTGAATCAAGTCAGACAGAGAAATAACCCAAAGACAAATAGCATGTGACATCACTTATATGAGGAATTTGAAAATATAAAGTAAATGTATATGCAAAACAGAAACAGACTCATAGACATAGAAAACAAACTCATGGTTACCAAAGGGGATAGAGATGGGGGGAGAGACAAATTAGGGCCATGGGATTGACAGACATCAAGTACTAAAATAGATAAGCAATAAGAATACACCATATAGTGTAATGTCTTGTAATAACCTGTAATATAGTCTTCAAAGATACTGAGTCGCTAAGCTGTACACCTGAAACTAACACAATGTTGATGAATAATTTTACTTGAATAAAAGAAAAACATATTTTGGAGTCTGCCTGATTCTGAACATGGTGATATAAGTAAAACCTACAGGTAAGATAAGCAAAACATCTCCCAAATCAACCCAACCAACAAACAAAACAACTACACTTTTTTGACTATATGTTGGTGATGGAAAGGTCAAGTGTGTGTTTTGAGGGAGAAGACCGTGTATGTTTGGATTTAGACATCTCTAGATTGAGAAGGCATAGCTATAAATCCAGATTTCTATTCTTAGCACTACTCACATTTGGGGCCAGATATTTTTTCCTTTACTGGGGGTTGTTTCGTGCTCTGTAGAATTAGCGGCATCTTTGGATTCTATACAAGATGCCATAGATGTCTGGCATAGTAGGTATCTGGGTGGGAGAAGCCTGGCAAGAAGTTTCAATGATTCAAGAAAGGAGAAAGCAATATTTCTCTTCCTACAGGCAGAGGCAGATGATTTAGGAAAGGTGAGAGACAAAAGGGGGACAAGTTTTTCTACACATTCCCCAAAACCTTTTACTATAAGATACATGTTAAATAATAGTAGCTCTCGAAAATGGGTTTCAGTTTGGGGCATATACTTCTACTGAGGCAATTTATCAACAAAAACAATTAAAATGATGCTCTCTAAATAAAACTGGAATCTCCAAAATAATGAGCTATTTAAGCAAAGCATTATTGAATGTTAACTGTGACTGGCACATGATGGTTGCTCACATATTTGTTGTCTAAGTCAGGGAATGAATGGTATGTCTGTCAATTACTGACAGTATATAAAGGTCCCAGGGAAATAGAAGGCACACACCCATTTGAGAAACTTCCTCTTGCAACCCACCTGAATTCACATTCCTAGACAACATGTGTTGCAACTTCTATGGCAACTCCTGTGGCTATGGCTGTGGAAACAGCTATAGCTGTGGATTTAGCCCCTATTATGGCTGTGGTTATGGTACTGGATATGGCTGTGGATACGGCTGTGGATATGGCTCCCGCTATGGCTGTGGTTATGGAACTGGATATGGCTGTGGATATGGATCTGGCTTTGGCTATTGCAGCTACCGGCCAGTTTGCTATAGGACGTGTTATTCTTCTTGCTGTTAGAACATCACTATCCAAGCCCCATTTGTTTCTGTAATGATACATCTAAAGACAATGCTGACTCAGGATCTATAACCCACGGTTGCTATGTCCAAGAAATTACATGCCTGACAGAGGCTTTGATCTCCAACTGCCCATTTTTCTATTGGCATCTTTGTGGCTTGAGGCCCCGTGGTAGCATCTGACCATTTTCCAAAAGTTAGCCTTTACCCTCCTCATTTTTTGACTCTCTGTTATGACTGTATTGATGATCCCAACATTTTGCAATTGAGGAAATCACTTATTCTCAATAAAAATGGTTCATTGTTTCTAACAATTCTATGTATACTTGCTTGTGAATTAGTCTTTTTTTTTGAGATATTATGGGCTCTCTTATAGATTGGGCTAACATGTTGCTTGAACCTTGAGTTCTTCCTTGATATTATATAAGCATATTTTTCTTATATTTGCATCAGGAAAAATGTCTTCTCCATCCATTTCTCATGCCCTACATGCTCAGACACTCACATACACAAGCACAAATCTCATAATACATCAGAATGGTGCTTTCAAACCTCACTGTATCTAGGATGGAGCTGGAGGGGAAAGAGAAGGTGGAATGACATCTATTCAGGAAGTTATGACAAAAATGCCAGGTAGAGGAGAGGGGACCTGCAAGCTTAAAACAGTCACAGAATATAAGAAGTAGTTCCCAGAATTAATGAGAAATTAGAAGTAGACATAGGTGTTATACTTATGAGAATAAAGAACTAAGGAATGGATAAATCAGAATAAAAATATTCTATTCTATCATCGGCTCTTAATAGGATTGCAGATATACTTGTTTGCATACAATGTATTTCAGTCACTTAATTGGTAAATAATTTGAGTAGTTTTGAAAGATCCTCATCCTAGACACTGAAGACGCAGAAGGAAAATTAAGAACAAGTCTCCTGCTCTCATAGTGTTTACAAATGAGCTGATGCCAGTTGCAAAGGAAGACTAGAAAGGACAGTAGCCAGTGTAAAGGGGGAAGAGAAGTTCACTAAGTTTTGAAAGAATACCATTTATTAGGCATGTATGATATACTGGTCTTTACAAACTAGATCTTTTTTTGGAAAGTTTTTTTTTTGAAAGGTATTGGAACAATGCAATTATTATTGTAAAAAGTCACCTCAATATTGACAAAAAAATGAAAAAGGAAAAATAACAAGTGATATCACAGACATACAAAAAAAAAGAGAATATTGTGAATAGTTATATGCCAACAAATTGGGCAACCTAGTAGAAATAAGACAAGTTTCCAGAAACACACAGAATGCCAAGGCTGAAGTAAGAAGAAACAGACAATTTGAACAGACTGATCACTAGAAGTGAAATTGAATCTGTTATTCAAAAACTCCCAGCAAACAAAAGTCCAGGACCAGAGGGCTTCACAGGTGAATTCTACCAAACATATATCGAATTTATACCTATCCTTCTCAAACTATTCTAAAAAATTGAAGATGAGAGAACATGCCCAAATTCATTCTGTAAGACCATGATTACCGTGATACCAAAAACAAAGACAAAAAAAAAAGCAAAATTATAGGCCACCATTTTTGATGAATATAGATGCAAAAACCTTCAACAAAATGTTAACAAACCAAATTCAACAATACAAAAAAGGATCATACACCATGATCAAGTTGAATTTATTCCAAGATCACAAGGATGGTTCAACACGTGCAAGTCAATCAATGTGATATGCCACATTAAGAAAAAGAAAAAGTAACACTGTCACTGTGTGCAGTTGACATGGTATTTTATATAGAGAACTCCAGTGTCCACCTAGAAACCATTAGAAATAACAAATTAATTTGGTAGGTTGCATTATACAAGACAAATATACAGAAATCTGTTGTGTTTCTATACATTACTAATAAAACATGAAGAAGAGAATGTAAAAAAATCCCACTTAAGATTGCATCAAAAAACCCACCCAGGAATAAACTTCAGCAAGGAGGTGAAAGACCTATAATCTGAAAATTAGGAAACTTTGATGAAGGAAATTGAAAATAACATAACAAAATGGAATGATATCCAATGACTTTGGATTAGAAGAATTAATATAATTGAAATGGCCATACTACCCAAAGAAATCTACAGCTTTAAGGCAATCCCTATCAAACTATTTGTAACATTTTTCACAGAACTAGAACAAATAATCTTAAAATTCACATAACTAGAAAAAAAATCCTTAAATAATCCTAAAATTTATAGAAAAATAATCCTAAAACTAGAGCAACCAAGGACCCTCATTTGCCAAATCATTCTTCAGAAAAATGGACAAAGCTGTTGGTATGACCCTCCCAGACTTCAGACTATACTACAAATCTACAGTTATCAACACAGCATGATATTGGCACAAAAAACAGACACATATATCAGTAGAATGGATCACAGAGCCCAGAAATAAACCCACACATCTATGACCAATTAATCTAGGATAAAAGAGGGAAGAATGTACAATATAGAAAAGACAGTCTCTTCAACCAGTGGTGCTGGGAAAACTGGACAGCCACATGTAAAGCAATGATATTAGAATATTCTCCCACATCAAATAAAAAAATAAACTCAAAATGAGTTAAAGATCTAAGTGTACTGCTTGAAATGTAAACCTCTTAGAAAAAAGCACAGGCAGAACATTCTGTGTCATAAATTGTGGCAATGTTTTTTTGGATCAGTCTCTTCAGGCAAAAGAAATAAAAGCAAAAATAAACAAATGAGGCATGATTACGCTTAAAAGCTATTTCACTGCAAAGGAAGTAGTTGATGAGATGAAAAGACAGCCTACAAAGCGGGAGAAAGTATTTGCACATGATGTGACTGATACAGTGTTAACATCCAAATTACATAAACAGTACATATAACTCAATATAAAAAAGAACAACTCAATGAAAAAAATGAGCAGAAGACCTGAATAAACATTTTCCCAAAGAAGACACAGAGATGGCTACTAGGCAGAAGAAAAGATGCTTAACATATCCCATTATTAGAGAAATGTCAATCAAAACAATAATAAGATATCACCTGTCAGAATGTCTATCATCCGAAATCTACAAATAACAAATGTTGGGAAGGATGTAGAGAAAGGGAGCCCTTGTACACTGTTGAATGCAATGTAAATTGGTGAAATCACTATGGGAAACAGTATGGAGATTTTTTAAAAAGACTGAAAATAGGACTACCATAGGATCCAGCAATTCCACTCCTGGATATATATCTGGAAAAAAACCCACTAATTTGAAAATATACATGCACCCCAGTGTTCATAGCAGCATTGTTCTCAATATCCAACATATGAAATCAACTCAGTTTCCCATTGACAGATTATTGAGTCAAGAAGATGTGGCGCACACACACACA